CCCCAAAACCCCAAAACCCCAAAACCCCAAAACCCCTCTGAATTTTACTAGAATTGAAAACAAATGAATCTTTGGTTATCTCAAAATATCTGAAGAATTACTTCTGATCGAACTTTGCCCTGCCTTTCTGAATACTTGGCCTTCTTTAGTGTTCCTTGAAGCAGAAGATACTTTGTTAAAATCAGGATTTGAGTACTGATAATCATGGATAAACACACCATTATTTATAGGCTTTCCAAAAGCTGCAAAGCTTTTTCTTTTTAGGGAGTGAGCTCTGTTGATTCTCTCAGGAGAGTCTTCAAATCCAAGATTTCTGATCTTATCTGTAGAATGATCAAAACTTAGGTTAGATTTTGTATGAGCATTAGCAAAGCTCGTTAATTGGTTATCGGCATGGAGCCCAGGCATCATTGAGAAGTTTGAATGCTTGTATCCTTTGAAATCTCTGAGGTGCTGCTTATTGATCCTCTTCTCTTCCTTTGTCATTCCAGCGTTATTTCTTGAGTTTGTTATTCAACTGGCACTGGAAGTCTAAAGATATGTCCAATAGTTTACCTAAGATATCCTTATAAGTTTCTAACTTATCCATATTTTTGACTTCATTTAACTTGGCTAAATAGAGTTATGCGCATTCAAGAAGAAGGAATCTTACATGAAATCTTGGTAAGACTTTTAGTCTGTCTTTCTCCAAGGATATTTTTGGTGTAGTTACCCATATTTCTTTTGATGCCATTGTCGATACGCTTGAATTTCTATAGTTCGATTGCTGAAGCTTACTTCGATATAATCCTGGTCTCTTTTAGCCATACTATTGTTGTAAGTTTGAACATCTTGAATAAACTGTTTCTTTGAGCCAATAGTCTCCATTTTCTTCGCAGCCTAAAAGAATTTTTGTGGGATATTACCTCTTTGCGATCTTGTCTCTGTCTCCAGTCTGATGTGAGGTCATTATAAGCATTTGATAGGTGTTTGGCATTGTTAAACTGGTTGCTAAGATGAAGTTTGTAGCTCCTATCCAGGTTCCTATTTTCCTCCTCTTTTGCAATCTGTTTCTCTCTGAGAGTGTTGGAGCGCTTAATTGAGACTATATCTTTATACTCATTTGCTAAGTTCTTCATAAAGTTGCGAGATTCTTTTCTTGCATGGGCCTAAAAGATTGCGTGATAAGAAGTACATTTATCTTCATGTTCTTCCTCTGATTGGTTATCAATTGGTAATTATCATTAGTTTTGATAGACTATAGGTATTGCTGACTTAATTTACCTCATTTAAGCTTCTATTTAGTCCTTTCTTTACTTGATCTTCAAAATATTGATTTCTATAATGCTCAAAATCACAAACTGAAAGGGAAAAGGTTAGACCTTACCTAAAATGCTCTTGCTGCACTCTCTTTTTCTTCAGCTCAATCCTTCTCTTAACACCAAACATCTCGTCTTGCTGGCGAGTAATCGCTGCCCATTCATCAAAGTCGCCTAAAAAGTGTGAGAATTTGGCAACTTATCAGATAAATTTCTAACTCTAGCTTTCCTAAAATTGTGAGGACTAGCTCTAGACCATAAAATCTCAGTTGAGCGCTAAGATACTTTATTTGAAACAAAAATTAAGCTATTAAATAAGTTAATTAGCTGAGTTCTGAAGTCTACCAATACGGTTGCCCAAAAATAGAAAGATTGCGAGCCGATTTATTACCTTCTTGTGTAGTAGGATAATACCTTTTGTCTAAGGTAAGATTTGCCACTTTCTCTTTCTTCTCGTCAGAGAACTTAGTTATCCCAAAACTTCTGCTTTTAAAAGGGTCGTGCTAGAGTCTGATAACATTTGCTTACAAAAGAAGTCATATTTTATATGGATTTATTTTAGTTAATAAAATAGTTCTTGCTGGGGTTTTGGGGTTTTGGGGTTTTGGGGTTTTGGGGTTTTGGGGG